CTGACTTAGTCCCTCAACTCAAAAAATCCCTGATTTGGTCCCTACTGTTTACCATTTTGACCCCGATTTAGTCCCTCCGTTCAAAATCCGTTAAAATTCCAGTGACGTGTCCTTGATTAACAAAAGCATGATAACATGTCAAAAATAAAGTGACACCTCAAACGAACACCTGGAAAAAAAAGATGACATGGCAGTATGATGTTCCATTTTGCCCCAAAACCAAACAAGGAAAAAAAGTGGGCCCCACCTCATGCAAAGCCTGAACCCTTCACCCCCTTTCTTCCCTAAACCCATTCGAACCCAGAACAACATTCGAACCTAGAACAACACCAGTTCCTCAACAAGCATCCACAGAAAAAAAAAAGAATTTTTTTATTTTTCCCAGTTCCGAGTTCCTCATCTTCCCTTGCCTTCTTCATCATCATCAACCAACCAAATCCACAGAAAAAAAAAAAAGAGAATTTTTTTCAAACGAACCCAGGCTGCCTGGGTTTCGAACGAACCCAGAGCCTGGGAAACCCAGGACGCCTGGGAGCCTGGGAAACCCAGGACGCCTGGGAAACCGCCTGGGTTCGTTCGAGAAACCCAGAGCCTGGGTTTCCCAGGCGTCCTGGGTTCGATCGAACCCAGGCTGCCTGGGTTTCGAACGAACCCAGGACGCCTGGGTTCGTTCGAGAAACCCAGGATCGAACCCAGAGCCTGGGTTCCATCAAGACCCAGGCCCTGGGTTCCATCAAGAGCCAAGCCCTGGGTTCCAAGGAACCCAGGCGTGGAACCCAGGTGTGGAACCCATGAATCCTCGGTTCGAAGGAACCCAGTAGGCGTTGGGTTGCAAGGGGCAAGGGGAAAAGAAAGGAAAAGAGAAGAAAAAGGAAAAAGAAATAATTTTTTAAGTTTTTTGATATATTATTTTTTTCCATGTCATCATTTTTTTATCATGTTGTCTTTTTTTTTTTCAGGTATGCATCTGATGTGTCAAGTTATTTGGACACGTCATCATGCTCCAATTAATTAACGGGAAATGTCACTGGATTTTTAACGGAGGGACTAAATCGGGGTCAAAATGGTAAACAGTAAGGACCAAATCAGGGATTTTTTGAGTTGAGGGACTAAGTCGGGGGTCCGTACGATAGTTGAGGGACCAAAATGGGGGTTTAACCATTCTTTTTTTCTCGTTTGGTAAAGCGAAAAAAATGCAGTTCTTTCGGGGGGACATTATTGGAAATTCACCATTTTGCTAAATCCCTAATTCCCCCTGTACTCATCCACAGCCACAGCCTCAGCCACCGCATCCTTCCGGTAGCAGAAGCCCATGCTAAGGTGTAGATCGCCTCTGCTGGTCGCCCTTAGGATGCTATCATCTTCTCGCACCGCAAACCCTAATCCTAAAATCAAGCTTCCGACCCCCAATCTTCCTCTCTGCTCCAACCGCAACATTCATTTTTCTTATTCCTGTAATTTCCCTCCGACTCCCAACATGACACTCTCCAACTGCTTCTCGGATGCCACAACAGGTTCAGTTCCCATCTTGGTCCAATCCGACTCCACAAACCCAGAGGAATCTCTTGTGGTCGTATCCTTCTACAAGTTCGCTGATTTACCAGACCACGCTGATATGCGTAAACCCCTGAAGGACCTCTGTCAGCAACTGGTACTTAGTCAAATCATTCATCTTTTTTCTTTTCTCCTCTAAAATTATGTTTGTGTTGGAATGTGGGTAGGCATGTGTCAACCATCGATATCTACCTTCTTCTCTTAGTTGTACAATACCATCAAGGAAGAAGCTTTAAACATTTCTTCCAATGCTCTTTTTATTTTATAATTATACAGTTCTCAAATGCACTCTTTTTTTCTTTCTTTCTTTTTTTTTTAATGGTGATAATAATAATAATCATGTGTTGATATTTATGACCTTATGATAATTCGTAACAATGCAATAATAATAATCATGTTTCCTTTCTTGTGGAAAGATTTCCTTTCTACTTTCAAATTTTGAAACATGAGCAATATGAAGATATTGAATTTAGTAGGAATACTGATTTCTATTTATTTTCCTAGTGTTAATTGGGTTTGAAAGCCTTCAATGATGATTTATTTTTTCGTCTTTTACCATAACTTTTACCTATCCTCTTTATCATTTTATTGCTTAGATTCCAAATTCTTGTTGTGTCTTTATTCTCCTTGCTATTTGTCCCTTACCAAGCTGATCAATTCAGCGTGTTTCAGGTGGTATCATTCTTGCCCCTGAAGGGATCAATGGCAGCATTTGTGGCACCCGAGAATCAGTGGAAAGAGTACTTGCATTTATCCAGAGTGATGACCGTCTGAAAGGTTTAAGGCATGTGGAATCACCTGTAAGTCCTGAGGAAGAAGCTATCCATCATGGACACTCAAGTAGTTCTCCTCTTGCTGCTGGTGAAGATGCACCCTTCCGATGGGACCACGTCAGGGTCAAGTTGAAGAAGGAGGTATCTCTTAACCAAAATAAAGAAGGGGATGCCCAGCATTATGGGAAGTAAATGCTCCAAGTTCTGTGGTTCTAATCTTCCCATCTCTTTATGTTGATGCAGATTGTTACTCTTGGAATGCCAGAAGTATCGCCTAGCAAAAAGGTTGGAAAGTATGTCAGCCCAAAGGATTGGAATGCTTTGATCAGTGATCCAGATACAGTGAGTATCCAAAAATTTTAAGTAAAGACCTAGTAATTTACTTCCAACTTAAATATAAAGATACGCACCTGCAGACAGTGATAAGACTTAGTGACTGTTTACATATTCTGCATATTGGGGGTGTGGGCCAGCCGGCCAGCTGGCCAGCCTTTCTATTGTTAATTGATCTCTTTGTCAATATTGTTGGTATTTAAGGTGTTGATTGATGTGCGCAATGACTATGAAACTAGAATTGGAAAGTTCAAAGGAGCAGTTGATCCCTGTACAACAGCATTTCGTGTGTTCCCATCTTGGGCGGAAGAGCATTTCCAACTTGATGGAACAGATGTCGAGCATGTGGAAATGGAGTCACCAAGAGAAAGCATCAAAAGCAATATGGAGATTCAAAAGCCTAAAGTGCCAAAGCGGATTGCAATGTACTGCACTGGGGGAATTCGATGTGAAAAGGCTTCAAGTTTTCTCCTCAGCAAAGGTTTCAAGGAGGTAATCTCTCGTTAGATCCTTGTGTCCATTATTGGTACAAGGTGGCCTGTGGTGGTTATACATTGCAACTGTCTACCCAGTTTAGTTCTTCCCCAAGATGTTCAGACCTGAACATGAAAAAAAAAAACATGGGAATGGTTTGTCCTTATCTATGAAATTTATCAACTTGGCAAAAATTGCAGTCTATCAGTTCTTCATTTCACTATAGCAACTATGCACTCCTCCCGGTTTACAGTTTCCATGAACTGAACGTTTTGATATGCTTTGTCAGAAGTTTTACTGTCATAATTATTTTGTGACAAAAATTACCATTTTTATTTCCATTTTCTTTTGATGTTTTATCCATGGTTTGAAAATTTAGCAGGTGTACCATTTGGAAGGTGGGATTTTGAAATATCTTGAGGAAGTACCAAAGACAGAGAGCCTGTGGGAAGGGGAGTGCTTTGTGTTTGACAAACGAGTCTCTGTGGATCATGGCCTGTTGCAAGGAACATTCAAGCTTTGCTATGGTTGCAAACAACCAGTGAGTGATGAAGACATGAGAAGTCTGGAATGGGAGTTTGGAGTTTCTTGTCCACACTGTTTTTCCTCAAAGTCTGAGGAGGAGAAAGAGAGGGCAAGAGCTCGGCAGAGGCAGTTTGAGAGTTGGGGCATTATTGGTGGTCCAGACAAAGGGCGGCGACCAGCAAATGGTACAAAAAGGAATCACAGCCGCAAAACCAAGTTTTCAAGTTCAGTATAGGGGTTGGTGGGGAGAGAGCAAAAATGTTTTTACGGTTTGGTGACTGGAGCTGTTTTCACAGTTGAAACGTTGTGTAATTCTGGTGTGACGCTGGTAGTATCAACTTTTTGCTTATAATTATTATTAGACAAGAAATTTACATTTGATTTCATCCTTGCTCTTCTTCGTGTCATTTGGTCTTTTGTTGTGTTTATTGATATTTATGAAAAATGTTGTTGGAGGGAGACATGACCAAAATTTCCAGTTCTTCTTCTTGTACTTTGGGAAGGGAGAGAATAAGAGTTCATAATATTCATTCACCTGTGCATGTTAAATTTTGTCAACTGACGTGTCTAATATTTTATATTTCAAGCTGTTAGGTTTTGTTTTGTTTTGTTTTTTAATTTTAATTTTTCTTTTATTTTGAACAGATAACAATTGTGGGAAGGGAGATTTGAATTTCAACTTTAGTAGAACAAAGTGAAAATCATGAATCTGGAAACTTTAATACTGAATTTGGATAGAGGGAAATGGAGAGGAAAATTATATCTTTTGATAATTAGATAAATTGAAAAAATAAAATAAAATAAAAAATTTTTCCTTCCTTTTCTTCTATTTTTTTGTATTCAAATAATTTTCTTTTCTTTTCCATTCTCTCTCTTCCGCTCCCTTCAACTTAAACATAATTTCTTTCTCTCTTTTTCTCTCTTTTCCCTCGTTATTGGCTTTGCGCACCGACGATCCGCGATTTTGATCAAAAGCCCTCGAGCTTCTGCGTTTTGCTGCTTGAGTTGTGGGCCTCCCCGCCGCTCAAGCACAATGGAGCCGACTATGTGCTTCGAGCTCCGATGGCCTCCGTGGCTTGTCGGCTCTGTAGCCCCTCTAGTGGCTTTGTTTTTTTTTTTTTTTTTTTTTTTTTTTTTTTTTTTTGTGTGGGTTTTTATGGTTTGTTTGTTTGCTTGTTTGTTTGTTTATATGTTGGTTTGCTT